CAATGTGCTTTCCTATTAGTCTTCCTACCAATATGACCAAGTTGCGAAAACAAGGTCAAACAATTTCTATGATATTTCAGCCTTAATTATTTTGTCAGGGCTTCCCCAAAAGTTAGATGAGTAGCGTTCATATTAAAAAAGCTTTTCGTAAGGTTGAAAACATAAAATGTGTGATAGCGTAGTGGTACAAATAAAGCGATGCAAGAAATAGATGAGTCAGCCATCCATTAGTAATGACGTGAGCTGAGTAGTACAATTGTTCTCTAATTATTCTATGCTAATTTCCATCTACAGCAATGACCTTAACACGAATTTTGTCCAGCTTATTTGGTACAGTACATAGACGCAAGAGACAAGTATCTTTTTGGCGACTCAATGAAGAAGACTAGGATACCGGCGAAACGTTAAAGACTGTACCACGCCCACAGTCCGACTCTGAAAATTATCATGCATACTATGGACTCCGGACTACATACATTCCTCTAGGTCTTCCTACCAATATGACCAAGTTGCGAAAACAAAGTCAAACAATTTTTGTAGTTCCAGTTATTTTTTTATTATCTTAAGTTTCTTTGATGTGCTAGGCTCGTAATGAAGTGGATAGCTCGCCGTGGGACGTAGCCCTATTGAGAATTAATCCTAGTTGAGAGTAAAAACTGTAGCAAATAATTGACGAAAAGCATCACTTAAATGATGCGGCAAAATACAAATTGACTATCGCTTAGTGTCGTTCTGATATGGTTTTTGCAACTTGGTCGGAGTGACAATGAATGTTGATGAGACTTAGCTTAAGGGAGGCTTGAAATGCCTTCCATCGTGGATAAAAAAAACGTTTCGGAAGGCAAGGCAAAGAGAAGCTCATTATCATAAGGCCTACTGATATGGTTGTGGGAAAATTCCACAATTAGTCCTTAAGTAATATTAAGTAACCTAGGGCGACCAAGTTCTTATTCAAAAGTAGCCAATAGCTTCGAAAAACACTTAAACCCAAAATGAAAAGATGCTTTTAAAGTACAAGAGCAAAGCTAATAAGTGAATCAATCAAAAGATAGGGTTAAAATAAAAAATAAATAAAAGGGGGTGTTTACCAACCTGCTGAAAGTCGGGATTCATGGACACCCATGAAGTGGCACCAAGGAAGGAGGCGCCACCTGACCCCCCGATACCTGAATTACTTGTTCCAACTACAGAGGCATTGGCCGCAACAGAAATAGGTGCGATGGCTGAGCTAGCTGAGCCACAGATGGAAGATTGAGCCGAAACAGCCTTAGCATTAATCGACGCGGCCACACTAAGACCTGGCATCACCAGACTCGTGCTTCCTTGAACCGCTGCAGCTGCGCTGCTCCCGTATCGCAGCCAGGTAGTTAATCGATCAGCTTCTGCTTCAAGATTTGGCACCTCCGATTGGAAAATCTGTGATAGTAAAATACGTGAGTACAGATATAAAAATGCAATGAAACCATGAAGTTAACATTAAGGGATGGAAATAAAATAAGAACAAGATTAATCTCAGGAGTCCTCACATGTCAGGTATTTCGTAACTTAGAATGAGAGCTGCACTGACCCTAGTTTACATTAA